TTAAAACAAGAAGAATCATGAATTCATGCTATAATAAGTCATAAAGAATAAATGACATGCTAGCATACCCAAAACCCATAAAAGATAGACATAGAAACAGAATTTCAAAATCCCAAATTCCATGGATAAAAAGGAGCAGCTAGTCCACTATGAATCACCTTATTGACAAACAAAACCTAAGTTCATAGTACAATAAAATCAAAGTTCCAACATTGCAAATCTATATGCACAAGAACACCAACTCTTTGGTGATACCTGGATTCTTGTAGACCGATGACCTACTTTCAAGTCTTGCAGAATGCAGAATTTGAATATTTTTGTTTATTTTCTCAGTTATCTCCTTGTGGTCATTGCGCAACTCTACAAAGAGAACGGAAATCATAAAACATCAGCATGTTGACGCTTGTAAAAAAGCCATCGAACACAAATAAAAGTAGTTCGAAGCCAAATCTGCGAACCTGCAAGGCGACGTCGTTCGGCTCGAACAACGGGGATGTCGATATCGGAACGAGGAAAACCCTAAAAAATGTTAGCAGCGGCGTCTCGTAAAGAAACGAATGAATAAAAGCTTATGCAAAACTGTGTGAATGAATAGATGGTTGGACATTAGTGGTGTGAGAAAAGAAAGAGAAGGGAAAACCTCATAATCGACGGACCACAGACCACACCAGGAAGCTCCGGGCCGGGAGAGGCGAGCGAACGGCGTTCATCTCCGCCATCCAGCGGGCGCTACGCTTGTCCATGAGAGACATGGTTCCGCCTTCACGTTCGTCGCCACCATAGCCACCTTCGAGAGAAACGATTTTTGGTTGTTCTTCTAATAAAATAACGATGAACTGGTGTATTTATTTATCTAGGGTTTTTTTTTTCCTATGCGCGAGCAGGGTTCTAATGTCTTTAACTTGGAAAGGAAAACTATATAATTATTTTATTTGTAACCATCACTTTAATTGTTGTTATATCAGTTAATAATTATTTTTTAAAAATAAACAAATAAATATATACTAGATTGAATAGAAAAATTTAAAGATTCGTTTTCCGATGACTATCTTACATACTGAAGATACTTATTTACAATTGTCTTGAAATATCTTATGAAAAAATTCTTTTGTGAGCAAATGTACAGATATATAGATTCAAATTTGCATAAGCATTATCTTCATTACGTGTGTTTGTCAATTTCAATAGGTTTAACTTTATTATATTTTGCATAGTTGACGCGTTATTACATCACAATTGACATGGGTATTTCAACTTTTTATTTTAAAGTCCTATTGTATGATTCGTATAAGATGGTGTCATCAAGAAGAAAATTAATATCATTATCTTTAAAGCTTTGCCACTCCAGCTCAACCCAACTAATATACTCAAAGTGGAATAAGAACATGAATAAGAGTCATCAAACTCACATTAAAATGCATTATCTTTCATCTCATACAAAATTCCCAAAATGTGAAATAAATTAGGTCACATCAAAGATGGTAGTCTAAGACAAAAGCCAAGATAAAAAGAAAAAGACAATCCTCCAAAAAGCTACGAGTGCATGGATAAGAATGGTTTTGAATATCTTTAAATAAGCAAAATCTTGTATAATAAATCAAAGTTCAACCAATTTTTTTGTTTGATTTCGACTATGTACTTAAAATCAATAAACTATTAAATACATATTTTTAAAAACATCGCGTCTCATCAAATGTTTACTAGACACAAGTGGTTTATTTATATACTTTTTATAACCTTTAATATTTCTTACACAATGAAAATTTATTAAATACTTATTCATTACACAAAGAAGATTAGTGACATGTCCTTAACCTCTGTCAAATATGGAGATAAATGTTTAAGATGTTGTATAGTGTATGTAACTTGTGATCTTTAAATAATCAAGTGTTTTAGCCTACTGAGGATTTTGTCTAGATAATACTTGTACTTAATCAAATGTAATTGTCTTCAAATAATTCTTGTAACTTATTTAGGAGTGGTTGTATGTAAAAAATATTTGTAACTTAGCAATTGGCTGTGTCCAAAGAATACATATAGTGCTCAATCGATACTCATTATATATAAATAATACTTATTTTTTTAGTTAGAACTAGAGATTAAATAAATAATATTTGTATTTTGCAGTGGTAGTGGTGAAACTTGATCAAGTTAATAAAAAATTAAATGTTTTATGTTTCTTCAAAACAAACCAATATGAAAACATAATGCATAAAACTATATATTCATGTCATTTATCTTCAACTAACTTAAAGATGAGAACTTTTTGAAATTTTAAATAAGTTGCTATAATACAATTGTCATATTGAAATTGAATATGATAAATTTTGTCAAATACATCTCTTACACGACATTAAACTTCGTTTGTGTTTATCAAGTTAAAGATTTGCATAATTGTTTTTTAAAATTCCCAAAACACAATTTAACCCCATTTGTGTTTTTGGCCTATTTTCACAATTTAGTTTATTTTGATTGTAACTTTACTTTCATTTCCTTTAATTTGTAAAATCAGTGCAAGTGACGATGTTGTATTAGAGTTTATTAAACGTAACCGGCTAGTAGATGTAAATATTAGACTATTAAAAAGTGAGAAGAAAATGAAATACCATCAAATCAAAACATGTCTCCAAATTGTTAATTAGGAAAAGGATGGCAATGGGTTGATTGGACATGGACAATGTCTATCACTAATCCGATCCGATAAAAAAAAATTACCCGTTATTCGACCTGCTATTAACATAAATATCTGTTTAAAAAATATCCCGCGAATATTTTAAAACCCGCGGATACTTGTGGATAACCGTAAATACTCAAAAAAAATATATTTTTATAAATTATTAGAATAAAATTTAAATAAAATTACAAAAATATATAAAATATAATATAAATTAAATTAAACATAAATTAAAATTTAATCTGAATTAAATTTAACCTTATAAAATATAAATTAATGTTAATGTTAATTAAATTTAACTTAATAAAATATGAATTATTTTCTTTTTACGGACGGATATCCGCTGATACCGCGTCTGACCCGTTTATAAACGAATATTAAAATATTCACTATTGCGGATAGTAAATATTGCGGATACTAATTATACCTTGTGAATTTTATTCGCAAATATTTGCGTGTGGATTTTTTTTGCTAGGAGATTAAACAACGAGGCATGTTATGCCTTTTTAAATTTTAAAATTTGAACACAATTCTACATTTTGTCACATAGAGTTCATCAATGCTTAGGATCGTTACTGAGCAAATCTGGTAGATTTGTCGTGTATATTCTTACAAATGGTGAAACAAAAAGTTTGTATTTTTGTTTGCAAACATTTAGAATGAATTACATTATAAATGTGTTTCATAAGAGGAAAAAAACCCTTATCATGATGTTTGGACAACGGATGTTCTTGTTGAATTATACAATAAATATTTATTTCTACACTTTAGAAAGTGTCAAAGAAACATTACATTTGACAAACGTTAGAAAAACAATATAATTGATATTAAGAAGTTAACTATGAGTTATACTATTTGTATTAATAACATTTTATTATTAAACCGTGTTAAAGATAATTTACCAAACACGTGTCAATTATATAACAATGTGTAATGTTTCGTTCAACAAAAACAAATGTGTAATAAAAAATGATTAAATTACTCTTTTTTTTTACCAAGAGATAAAATAATTTGTACAAATAGATTTATGAGTTATTAAATAAGAGATCCGTTGCTTAAGGTCTTTTCAAAACAATAAATATGTCATATGAAATGTAACTACATAAACTTGAAATTACTCTTAAAGTTTTAAAAGTTGAACATAAAAAAAATAATATCTAGTACATCAATCACAAACAAACCACGACCATTATTGGGAATAAAATTAATGTTACTTTTTCAACAGAAAAATTGTTTTGTTTGAGAAATTTTTACTCTCATGCTTATTAAATATTTGTTTATGTTACATGGATCAAGTTATTATCAACTGATGTTGTAGACTACTATATATAGGGTTTAATACACAAAATATAATACTTATGTTGTCTGGACTATTATATTTTTAAAAGAAAGACTACATGATGTAATTATAATAAATGTTCGAAATAAAACAAAATATTTGACTTTTTATTATTATTAATGTCTACGTACATACCTTTATTGGCAATATAGAACATCAGTATTACACTATTGATAGTCAATGTCTAATACACAACCTTTTTAAAATAATTTATTACATTCTTAAATCAAACGAAACATTAATAATTTATTGATAATTTTTCAACACGTCTTTTTCTATTGATTTCTCAGAATATCTCATCTAATTCAGCAACACAAATACGCAACTCGATATTGAGATAATTTATTTAGTGTTTTAGTTAAAAGATTAAGCAAAAAATTGAACTTTAAAAAACTTAAAATCGCAATAAAATTAAATATGTTTTTAGAGTTATGAATTTTTACTCAAAATTAAAAATCATTTATGTTTAAAATTTTAATTTATTTTGATTCCAAATTTTAAAAGTAAATAAATATAATATTTTAAAATCAATTATATTTATTTATTTTACTTGATAAATATATTTTTCAATTAGTATTAAAATAAAAATGTATCAAACAGTTGACAAATAATTAAATGTTACCGTAAAATATATTTATCACGTAAAAAACATAAATTAATTAAAAAAATATATTCATAAAATTTTAAAACTTAAAAATCAAAATTTTTAATAAAAGCAAATTCGATTCTAAAATTAATAAATAAAAGGATAATGATACTCTCACAATATTTTTAACATGTTAACACCATTTATATCTGTAATTGGTCAATATTGGTGTTTATGATATTATTATTATTGATTATGAAGTAATATTGGACTAATGATATGTAGATAATGTTAAAATGTTGTCAAAGTTATTATCTAAAATAAAAATATAATAAAAAAGAAATGAAAAATTAAAAGCACTTAGCCTAGATATTTCACAGTGGCCCATGGAGAGGTAGCCATGGCTACCAAAAGAGATAGAATAACGACGAGCGCGAGTGCGATGCACTGTCAAAAAAGCCACCCGTCACACCATATTACCACTTTACCCCACGATAAATAGATAGACCTTCCCACACCCGAAAATGGCATCCATAGTTGCTGCCTCCTCTGCATTCTCCACTATCCTCACTGCTCAATTTCTCATTCCTTCTTCTTCGTCTTCTTCTTTCTTTCTCAAAACACTCACTCGAAGGTCAACTGCGCCGTTACTGCGTCTTTCTCTTACGTCACGACGACCACTGCGCAACCTCATGGCTTACGCCACCCTTGGCCTCACTCGCCCATCCAACACCGAAACCCCCAAGGTTGAATTTCATTTCTCTTGATTTCAGTTGAATTTGAATTTGAATTTACTCTGACTTGACATAAACGTGTGGAAATGGAAGATTTCTTTCGCGTCGAAGGAGGTTGACGTGGTGCAATGGAAAGGGGACCTGCTCGCGATTGGCGTCACGGAGAAGGACTTGGCGCGAAACGCCGAAGCGAGATTCGAGAATGCGATTTTGAATTCCGTGGACTCGAAGTTGGACGGATTGTTGGCCGAGGCTTCCACCGAAGAGGACTTCACCGGCAAACCGGGCCAGTCCATAGTTCTCAGAATCGCTGGTGAACTCGGATCCAAGCGCGTGGCCCTGCTCGGCCTCGGCGCGTCCGCGTCCACCTTCGCCGCGTTTAAGTCTCTCGGTGAGGCTGTTGCTTCTGCCGCTAAGTCCGC